CGCAGACGCCCAATTACATCAGGCTGATTTGCAGCATACTGGAAAGAAGTGGCTGGTCTCTGATACCTTGTGCAGATTGTTTTTTTTTGACCAGAATCCAACATGGAAGGTGGTCGCTTCCATGATGTCCCAGTACGCCCCACTGGCAAAGTGCACTTATACTGGGAGAGACCAGCGTGAGATCAAGGGCACTGTCAGTATCACCTTCTCTGTCGGGGATTCTGGTGGGTCTGCCATCATTCAAGCAGATTAAATCCGTGTCTGTTAGTGCTTCCTCCAGTGCCTCGCCCTGTTTATTGACCGTCAGATTGCCCCATAGACGCCCTTTGGCATTGAAGTCCCCACACATAATGATGTCGGTGGTTATCTGCTCGCATATGTCACTTAAAATTGTCCACTTTTCTTTGTCAACTTTATCATTACAGGCATAGATGTTGATTAGTGTGAAAGGTTTACTTCCGTCTACCTTTACGGCCTGAACCTGAATTTCGTTGTTGTTCCATGCACTCGTGTCTACAACTGAGGATGTTATTCCGCGCCTGACCAGGATCGCTTGGCCTAGGTGTTTGCTGTTGTAGTACGTTTGGAAGCCTGAGACATTCAGAGCTTCTTCTGTATTCAGCCGGGTCTCCTGAAGTGCGATTACATCAGCATCATATATCAGTTTCTCCAAGATTGGGCCTCTCTGTCGAACACTCCTGCAGTTCCAGCAAAGAATGCGGAGATTTCCCTTGCCAAGGCGTTCTGATTTAGATTGGTTTTTGCGTGCACCAGCACGTCTATTGCGCCGTTTTCTACCATGTTGTCCTCTTTTCCTTCTGTAGCGTGTAGATGCTGCTGCATCGGATCTCAGTACGGACGCACGAAATCCGTAGCTCTGGCGAGGATTGAATTCATAAAAAATGTCTACCATATTTAATTAGTGAGAGTTTATTAACGTTACCCCAGTGGTGCCGTCGTGCTGGGGAAGGGGCCAGAGACGTAACGCCCATCAGCACAGTGTCGCCCCTGTACGACATAACTATGTCTGTGTAGCCTGATGAGATGTCCTCGCAAAGAAAGGGGTACTACTTGTAAAAATAAAACTCCAAATGTCTGTAATTATTTCCTCTTCCATTCGCGAACCCGACCTACCACAGCCAGTGTAACCAACGAAGTAACAAGTAAGGAAACCTGATATTCTCGAGTATGCAGCGGTGGAAAACATTGCCGTCAGGTGTTTGAATTGGTAAGAGGTTTGATTTGAGCGATGAAAACCGATTCACTACGCAAAGTGTTTGCCTTGAAATAATCTTGGTTGCTAGCGCCGCCATGCCGGAAGTTGTCCATAGATCATTAATAAGATCATTAATACAATACAACTGGCAATGATCCATGTGCCACTTGCTAGGCCGCCATGGGTCACCAGTTGAATAGCCCTGCTACAGATACATATTTATGAGATGTCTAGTTAATAAAATTCATTGCAGCTGTGCAAATGTTCAGCGTTAACAGGGGATGACTAAATTTTGTAAAAAAAAAAAAAGCATTTAATAGGATTTACTTTTTTTAAAAATTGTTTTCATACAGAAATTTCTACGTCCGCATAATAAAGTGAAGTAAGTGTCACACGTGAAGTAAGTGTCACACATGAAGTAAGTGTCACACGTGAAGCAAGTGTCACACATGAAGTCAGTGTCACACGTGAAGTAAGTGTCACACATGAAGTAAGTGTCACACATGAAGTCAGTGCCACACGTGAAGTAAGTGTCACACATGAAGTCAGTGCCACATGTGAAGTAAGTAAGTGTCACACATGAAGTCAGTGCCACACGTGAAGTAAGTGTCACACATGAAGTAAGTGTCACACATGAAGTAAGTGTCACACATGAAGTCAGTGTCACACATGAAGTAAGTGTCACACATGAAGTAAGTGTCACACATGAAGTCAGTGTCGCACGTGAAGTAAGTGCCACACATGAAGTTAGTGTCACACGTGAAGTAATCACACATGAAGTAAGTGTCACACATGAATTAAGTGTCACACATGAATTAAGTGTCACACATGAAGTAAGTGTCACACACGAAGTCAATGTCACACATGAAGTCAGTGTCACACGTGAAGTAAGTGTCACACATGAAGTCAGTGTCACACATGAAGTCAGTGTCACACGTGAAGTGTCACACATGAAGTAAGTGTCACAAATGAAGTGTCACACGTGAAGTAAGTGTTACACGTGAAGTAAGTGTCACACATGAAGTCAGTGTCACACGTGATGTAAGTGTCACACATGAAGGTAAGTGTCACACATGAAGTCAGTGTCACATGTGAAATAATTGTCACACATGAAGTAAGTGTCACACATGAAGTAAGTGTCAGCCTATAGTTGGTTTATAATTTTTAACTTTAGGATTTGTGGTTGTATGGCTAATGCAGTTGCCATGAACTGTGCAAGTTAGGATTCTAAAATGTCTACCACTCAGCTGGCCTCTATTTGATCGATGAATCTAAGCCATTCGCTCCGAGAAGCTGCAATCTGACAATTTTGGCTGTATCATTTCCCTGTTAAAGCTACTTTTCCTGACTTGCTAAAGAGGATCGTCACAGGTCTGTGGCTTGACCCCAAGCATAGAAAGATCATTAATACTATACAACTGGCAAATATCCATGTGCCACCTACTAGGCCTCTGAGGGTCACCAGTTGAATAGCCCTGCTACAGAGACATATTTATGAGATGTCTGGCTGACAAAATTACTTCTTCTTCTTCTTCTCTTCCACCTTGTACCTCATCGAAGTGTCGGGGGGAGATGTAATGTTCGTTGATGGGCTCTGTCAAGAGCACTATTAAGACTGATGTTCATTTCTGTAAGTCTGTTCTTAATGCCATCACTCCATCTTTTCCGAGCTCTATACCCGTTGTAACGTTTTAGTGTGGCTCGCTGTGGTGGATAGTACCAGGGCATTCTTGTTAGGTGTCCAAACCACTTCATTTGTTGTTCTTTGATGACCTGTAAGACTGACTTTATTCCTAGCATTCGTCTGATTTCATGATTTCGTATTCTGTCTTTCCTTGAAACTCCTGCAGCTCTTCTAAGGCATTTCATCTCTGTTGTCACAATTTTACGTTCATTGGAGGATGTAAGTGTCCATGTTTGGCATTGATAGCATAGTGTTGGCCAAAAAAATAATTCTGATAAGATTCACTTTAGTACTCCGAGGTATCTGCTTGTGTGTCAACAGGGGAGATAGTTGCCCCATTACTTGATTAGCTTTGGCACATCTGGAGCTAATTTCTCTGTCCAGTTTTCCGTCGATGTAAAAATTGCTCCCAAATACTTAAATTCCTCTGTTTGTCTCAGGGTATTGTTTTTTTAATTTAATTTCTAAATTGTCTTTATGTCTTCCTATCATCATTGTCTCTGTCTTACAAAATTCACTGCATCTGCATAAATGTTCAGCATAATAGGCGATAACTAAATTTATATTATATTAACAGCATTTATTGGAGTTGTGTTTTTTTTTTTTAAATTGCTTCCATAAAGAAATTTCTAAGTCACATTTTTTCCCATTGGCTACAATGGTTACTGGGTGACAGCATCACAGGGTGAAGTAAGTGTTATAATTTAGTTAGTTTACATTTTCCAAGTGATAAAAACCAGTTGATTCTATGCCGCATTTGTTTTTACTGATTACTTCCCTCGTGCTGTATTGGTATTTGTTTTAGGTTTGGATGATAAACTTGATTTTGTTAAATTTTTGTGTAAAATTATTGTTTTTCTGGAGGTTTTTCCAGGAATTTCTTTTTATCACAAAATTACAGGTACATGGCTTTTTTTTTTTTAGGTCACTGGGGTGAAAGGGGGCAACACATCAGCTGTTGTGGTTTTAATGTGTTAGATCCCCACATGTTACATACAAAAAGTCTTCTTCTTCCATTCGCTCATACAAGTAGTCTGACTATGAAGCTCATGGTGGCAGTTATTAAAGCAATAACCTGGCTGAAGAGGGACCTTCATTCGGGCATGCTTTCTCTGAGGTGGTCATGATCCACAAGTCTCTGAGGTGGTCATGATCCACAAGTCTCTGGGGTGGTCATGATCCACAAGTCTCTGAGGTGGTCATGATCCACAAGTCTCTGAGGTGGTCATGATCCACAAGTCTCTGAGGTGGTCATGATCCACAAGTCTCTGAGGTGGTCATGATCCACAAGTCTCTGAGGTGGTCATGATTCACAAGTCTCTGAGGTGGTCATGATCCACAAAGATCATTTTCATATCAGGTCATGAAGATGTGAGAAGAAAAACAGATGAGCATATAGGCTTGAAAGTAATGCTAAAATGGAAGACAAATGATCAACAGTGCAGCCGGATATACTGAATGCTCTAGATAAGACCTTTTTTTTATTAAACAATGACTGAATTTGCATCCATGACCATGTAAGAACCACAAAGGAGATAAGGTGAGGCCAGACAAGAACACTATGCAGGAAGCCACAGAAGAAGAAACAAACATACATTTGGTATCATTAGCAGCTGCATGTGATCTTTACTGAGGAGGGGATCTTAGCACCTATGGACTGACTGGTTTGATATGCAGAATCTGTTGATTAACTAACTAGACCACGATATACAAGATAATGATAATTAACTTGACCCAAATACCTCAGCTTTTGGGACAGGGTGCTGTTTATGAGCCAATTTTCCTCGATGCTCAGGATATACTTGTATGTGTTGAACTTTTTGGTACATGGTATTTTAAGAATTTTCTGTAGCATTTCATTTCAATAGCTCCCATTGATTTCTTCAGTGATTGAGCATGAGTCCATGATTCACATTCATAAGTTGCTTATTCCCGAAATGTTTACTTTAACTGACTTACAGGCGCTGGTCAATTTTAACAATCTATCCGGACAGAGATTTGATCTGTACTACTGTGTCAGCAAACAAATGTCTCAGCTGCCTCACTAACATGGCTACCTCATAGACTGACAAATACAAAGAAACAACTTTTGAGACTTACATTTCTTATTCTTGCGTGTGCTAGAGGTATTGCTGATTCGTTTGTTCTTGTCCGAGTGTACAGTATTTGGTGTAATAGATCTCACAGTCGAAGCATCGTCGGCTGCAACATAATAAAACATAACTTAAGGCCATACCTCAGTTATGTGTTGCATTTTGAAACAATCACATATATTATCAAATTAAACAATTGCAAACATATTTGGGGGAATGGTGGAGGGGGGAGGGGGTGGTTGGATCTATAGAGGTTTATGGGATGAGGTAGCAAAACCAGAGCCCAACCCTGCACATAATCGCCTCTTACGACATGCCTTGTAGGATGCAGTATTATTCCTTGCTTTTAAAGACGACCTCTGTAACAAACAGCCAAATCAATCTTTTACAGTTAATTTCTTTCAAGATGTCTTTATTACTCTTTGTATGAGTGTCTTTCTTTGGTGAGATGTAGTGTACCTAGAGACAGTATGATTTACTTAGATATACCTAATATTCTTCACCAGTGGCAAACATTACAACAGGAAGAAGATGGAGGTGGTTTGGACATGCTTGTAAAAATGCTTCATGAAATTATGGTAAGCACATTTCTACAGTAGACCACAGGTGTGAAGGGGGTGGGTGGGGGCGGGGGGAGAAGAAAGAGGAGGGACAAGTAGACAAGAGAAGAAAAATAATGAATCTTCTTTTATTTTCATTCTCCCTGCCAGTGGTTTTCATGAAAAAGCCACATACCTCTGTGAAGTCTGTGGTGTGACACGTCTTTTTCTGGTCCTTACAGCTTGGTTTCTACTGGAATGCCAACTAGCCAAACCTTTTTTTTTAATAAAACCAATTATAAATAATGAATGATTTGTTACCCTTGAGTCTGAGACCATTAGTAGTGGAGAGTTTCCTTCTTTGCTTACTTCTCTGTCGCTTGGAGGTGGTTCTCGTTTGATTTCGTGACTTCTGAAAAATACATACCACATTTCCAGCTAGAACATTTACAGTTTTAATTGTAGATGTCACTTAGGATCTAAGTTAGTGTGCTTGCATGCTGAGTCAGTGGTATGGGTTCAAATCCCATTTTTGCTGATCAGTGCAGCTGATGGAATGAAAGGAATGAAGGGCTAGGTTGCAAGCCCTATGTGACATAAAATGGCTAAATAGGATGATGATGATTGTTAGTGTCCACACGACCTAAAATCTCATATTATGATCAATTCTGCACTGCACACTTTTCCCGTATAGGTTCAGAGGATGCATTTTGGAAAACAAAGAATAGATCCACCACCCCTTTTACAAGCCTGCTGTAGGATGAGACTCATTAAGCATGTATCCTTCAAAGTTAGAGTGAGTCTGCCTGAGAGGCAAGGAACCAACAGTGTGTACAGAAATAAGCCAGATCCGTAAAATGGATATGCATGCAAAACTCAAGTTCTGGATCAAGATTAAAGTCCAGGAGTGGATAAACTATCAGAGCTTTCCGCTGGGGTTTACGGCCAAAGAACGCTGAAAAGAAGAAGAAGACAATAAGAAGAAAAAGAACAAGAAGAAGAAGAGGAGGAGGAGGAGGAGAAGAGGAAAAAGAACAACAACAACAAAAATGAGAGGAAGAAGTAGAAGAACAAGAGGAAGAAAAACAACAAGAACAAGAGAAAGAAAAACAACAAGAACAAGAACAAGAGGAAGAAAAACAACAAGGACAAGAACTAGAGGAAGAAAAAAACAAGAACAAGAAGGTGACTCCATACTTTACATGACGTACCTCAAGGTGGCTCCCATTACTGTTACTGTTTCCATTATAACGGACAGCAGCTCTTCTAGCCTCTTCTTGCTCCAGAATATGTCTACTGCCGATTCCCCCAATAGTTCGTAGAGGTGGCAAGCTCTGATCAGTAAAGACACTGACTTTCTCTAAAGCATCATCACCAATTCCAAACCCAAATGAACTGTCCTCCATATTGCGGTTATGCTGCGCAAGTCGACTTGGAGTCAGAATACTACCAAAATCATCAAAGTTACTATCGTCTATATGAGGCTGGGGGCGGTACAGGGGGCGTGCACCAAATCTTTCATTGGCTCCACTAACTGTGGTGGCCTGATATCTCTTTTTGGCGGCTAGTGCAGCTATGCTCCTTGTGTTTGCATTAATGACAGTCCTGTCATCGTACGACTGTCTCGATGGATTTGCTGGCATGGTGGAAGCGTCAGTCAGGCCAGGCTCATTTTTGTACAACTGTCCTGTGTCTGCCAGCCTCTGAATCTGTTTAGCTTTGGCACTTTGAGTAAATACTTTGTTGCTGTCCTCTATTTCACTGAAAGATACAATACGCAGCTATGTTTATTTTCTTGTATGATTCTTTTTAACATCTTATTTTCTAGATTTGTTTCTAATATCTTATTTTTCTAAACTGATTACAACTTGCACAAACTGAACCAAAATGATGCATCTATCTCTATCTGTTGTCTTTCTCTGCTTAATGCTGTTGGGTGTCACAGGAACGGCTCATGGTTGGTTTCCAGGATAATGCATGCTTATTTGCTTGCTGCATGGTGATATGATAAGTTTCAGCAAGTTTTTAACTCCATCTATCCATTATCTTCTTGGCCTTCCTCTGTGTCTTGATGTTTCCATTCTCATGTTGAATAGTATAATTATGTATGGTATGAGCAAATGAAATATGTAAGAAATAAAAGATAATTTTCATGCATGACACATGAGGCACATAATAAGTAAAAAGTGAAGGATTCTTGCCAGGCCTGTGATGCACAGGGCATAGAATGCTAGATCCACACATTATGCAGATCAACCCGCACTCGGTGGGTGATGTGATAAGCATCACGCTAGCTTACTTTACTTAAATGAATATTTTATGCTGCTCATGTTAGCCGAGGTTAATTTCTTTTTTTTTCAAAACTCTTTGAGGCCTAGAGGGTTTAGCATCACAGGCGCAAGGGGTAGTCAAGAGAGATGTAAAATGAGCGCATCATGCGTTCACTGGGCTTCTAGGCATTAACCTATGAACGGACTCAAAAAGTTAAATCTGCCTGTTGAGGTTTTATCCCAGTCCCGTTGAGCATGTTAGGTGAGCATCTAGCTGCTTAGAAACTGTCTCCTGAGGTACATGGTGCAATTGCCATATTTACCTAGACTAACCAACACACAATGGATGATGTGATCAACTTTATTTGGAAGAAAAAAAAAATCTGAACCGTGTCCACTGTGATCAGGACACTACCACATTTGCTCTGTCCCCTTCTTCATGAGCCAAAGAAGACTGTCTATGCTGATGGTGCCAGTGGAAATCTGATTAGAAGTACAATCATCATTTCTCTCTATGTGTTGAATGTTGTCCCGACCTTATATAAAGCCTAAATGATATAATAAAAGTAATCTAGATGGAGAGATAATGTCCAGACAGACCTGCGAACACTTGGTGTCACCAACTGGAAAGAGAAGGCCAACCAGAGATGAATGGGGGCGAGTGATATCTGCAGCAATGAACCGCTAAGGCTCAGAATGCTGAAGAAGAAGAAGAAGGATCTAGAGAAATAAAAAGAACTTGTAAGAGGTGTCCAGAAAAGAACAACCCTTAGGTAATATAAAGGAGAACAGCCTGCATAACATCAAAGTAACTTGAAAGCCGAATAGATTGGCCTGTTTTGCACAAAGGTGAGAAATGATGAAATCATTGAAGTCAGTGTGACTATTTAACATTGTTTAGTAAGGATGCCTGTCCTGGGAAAGTAAAGATAGCCGGCCTAATGCTGACCACATTACCCACCGAGTGCTGATGGTCTGAAAAAATATGGGCGCTCTTCCCATATGCCCGATACGCCTAAAGGCGTGGAAAGGCATCTTTACTTTACTTACTTAGTAAGCATGCGCAGTATGAGGTGGTTACATTCGAGATGGCTGAATGAATCAAGCCTGAAACTGCATCAAATTTTGCGTTAAGCTTTAACTTCTCAGCGGAAACTATTCAGTTAATACAAAAGACTGTTCACGATAATGATGCAATGAGTGCATCACAAATAAAAGTGTGGCACAGATGCTTCAAAGATAACACAAATGTGTTTTTAACAACAATGCTGCAAAGGCTGCTGAATCAGAAGAGCAGTGGCTTGGTTGGCCCGGTCTCACCCGCCATAACATCAAGTTTTCAAGGTTAAAACCTCTTCCTAGGATAAGGCCAATATCTTCCTGAATGTGCTTCTCTGTCTGAAGCTGCTGACACAATGAAGGATGCCAGGTGTAGTATGTGCTGTCAAATATTTGCTGTTAACAGAGAACAGATAATTGTGACTATTGTTCTACACTAGCTCTGTCCTATCTGACCAAGACTTAGTTTACTGAATTACAAAAACAAACATTGACTACTCTTCAGGTCTTCTTCGCGTTTGTTACGTGCGGTCCTTCATTGTGGCGTGTGTAGCTAGTGACTAGGGGTGTCAGAAGTTAACAAGTGGCATCAACACTTAACATGCCACTGGCCAAGAGTAATGAATGCTGAAGCTTCCGTAGTAGAACAAGAACTCTCTTTAAAAGTTCCATTTGTGTATTGACAAATGCAATGCAATGATCAATTTCAAGAATACATATGCAAGTAATAATCAACTCGTTCAACCAAAGCTCGCTCGTACATCCATGTAATGATATGTCCTCACGATAGGTCGCAGTCCGACCTTGAGATCCAGACGATTTACTTTCTCCTCGGACAAGTCCGAATTAAGCAATGAAAGTATACCGGCGTACTGCCGAAAATGTAACGTTTACCAGCTTCCTGCTGAGGTCTTGGAGTCCCGGGGTAAAACGTCCTCAAGGATCCAACATTATATAACGTTTGCTTCCGTGGGATCCCGGGGTAAAGCGTCCTCAAGGATTCCCACGTCCGTCTCCTTCGGACTATAAACATCAACTGCTTTTTGACAACAACAATATCATAACAACGTTACGTATTGTTTTGACGTCTTATTTGCTCACTCCGTACTGGTGCGTTCTGGTGCACATTCGCACGCGACAGCTTTTCCCCCCTTCCGAGGACGACCGAGCACTAGGACTTGTCGTAGTCTCGGTCGGAAAACTGGAGTCATGTCGCGGCAAACAGCACCAGTACGAGAGAGCAAATAAGAACACTTGAAAACACACACACTCACTCCTCAATATATCGTCAATACATTACTAAATGAATGCAAAATATAGATTCCTGACTTCACTAAGCATTATTATCAACAACATTATTGTTATCCAAATTATTTTTCATAACATCATGCATTTTAAATATCATGTAAATTCAACAAATAAACATCAATCGTCTTCCAATGCCTCTGGGGTGCGCGACAAAAAATCGGCTAAGACATTTTCTTTCCCTGGGCGATAAATAACTGTGAAGTTGAACGTCTGTAGAAACATTGTCCATCTTAATATGCGTGAGTTTTTGATGGGTGCTGAGTTCAAGACTTCGAGTGGACGATGGTCTGTCAAGACAAAGAAGTGACTGCCATACAGGAGTTGGGTAAACTTCCCTACTGCCCAAAAAATGGCTAGTGCCTCCCTCTCGCCCACGCTGTAACGGCATTCAGTAGGAGACAGCTTCCTGCTGGCATAAACAACAGGGAGTAGGGTGCCCTCTCTGGATTGCAACAACATCCCACCAATCGCCACATCGGACGCATCAATTGGGTGGCGTACAAACAACACACTGCAATGTTAGCGATGAAAAATCGCTAAAATAACGACCGGTACAACGGCAAGTAGCAGATCAATGTACAACCAAAAGGACGACTTGATCCGATTCAATCCCACGGAGAGTGGCACAGTCAGTAACGGTGACTTGATTATGATGAAGATCCAGCGAAGTATGATACGGAGATCCAACGAAGAGTGATCCGGTCCCGATGAAGATCCAACGAACGAAGAATGATACGGTCCCGATGAAGATCCAACGAAGAGTGGCACAGAGATCCAACGAAGAGTGATTGATAAAGTCCAGATAAAGATCCAGCGATGGCTAGAACAGACCGGCGGCGGCGGCGACTTGATACATTGAACGATATCCACAGCTAGAGATATGTTAAGACTGTGACAACTGGAATGTGCTTCGTGTACAACTTGAGGCACAACAATGCGGCAAAATGTCGTATCACACTTGTGACGAGAGGTTCCTCATTCTTTAAAGGCTGGCCTCCATTGTTACGTGCGGAGGCGCTTGAAACTGATGTGTGTGGTACCAAGATGAATTAGGCCAAGTAGGGGTAAAACAGTAGTTACTTAAATGCTTTCAAAAGGTAGAGCTCGAACGCTATGCGTTAAGTTCCAACGGTTGTATTGATATATACAATCAGCAATACAAGGAGAAATATGCAAGTAATAATCAACTCGTTCAACCAAAGCTCACTCGTACATCCATGTAATGATATGTCCTCACTATAGGTCGCAGTCCGACCTTGAGATCCAGACGATTTACTTTCTCCTCGGACAAGTCCGAATTAAGCAATGAAAGTATACCGGCGTACTGCCGAAAATGTAACGTTTACCAGCTTCCTGCTGAGGTCTTGGAGTCCCGGGGTAAAACGTCCTCAAGGATCCAACTTTATATAACGTTTGCTTCCGTGGGATCCCGGGGTAAAGCGTCCTCAAGGATTCCCACGTCCGTCTCCTTCGGACTATAAACATCAACTGCTTTTTGACAACAACAATATCATAACAACGTTACGTATTGTTTTGACGTCTTATTTGCTCACTCCGTACTGGTGCGTTCTGGTGCACATTCGCACGCGACAGCGTTCACCAGCTGCAAACTCCGGCAGAAAGTTCTGGTTGTTTGTCCACTTCTGGACTTGTGTCCTGTTCCAGAACCTGAGTTTTGCGTGTCCTCCATTTCACAGGTCTGACTCATCTGCATGTATACTGTTGGTTCCCTGCCTCTTAGGCAGATGTACTCTGACTTTGAAGGAAGCTCCTAATTAGTCGACTCTTACAACATGCTTTTGGGCAGGCAGTGGATCTATTCTTGTTTTCCCCCACAATGGGGCCCCGGAACCCAATGGGGATACTCTTCATGTGAATGCTGCAAGTATTACAATGGAATCCCATTACAGCCGCCAATGTGGTAGTGAAAATAATTTCAGCAGACAAAGAAATATATTACTTACCTTTTACGTTTAGGTGTTGTTACAGAATTCAGATTGCTTGATGAAACAATCTGAGAAGAATATTTAAGGAGAAAAGCAATTAACAAATCAGCAATATAACATGGCAGAAATAGTGATAATAATCTCGCTCTTTCAAACCTCTCTTTTTCCTACCCCTTTTTTACTCCCTCATTCCCTCTTTCATCTAATTTACATGCCTGCACCAATTTTCCTCCCTCATTCTCTCTCCTCTTAACACGCCTGCCCCCTTTCTAATCCATGTTGTATTTTTCTCCTTTTTTTAACATGCCTTCATGGGTTTTTACCCTATTAAGTGCATTTATTGACTGATTAATTTCAAATATTATTTTTTTTACATACAACTGCTGACTTTTTGTTTTCAAAATTATATAACATAATGTGTTCTTATACCTTCAGTTGTAGCTTGCAATAGTTTAACTTATTTATGCTAATAACAGTTGAACATATTATTAAACATTATTTTTCCTACGACATTATGGTTGCCACTTCCAGTGGCTCTTAGCAATTGCTGAGAGAAAAAACAGAACTGCCTTATTTATACAAAGAAATGGAACACATATATAGTTATTACCTTTTCAATAGAAGAAAATGAACTAATATCTTCCCCTTTGACCAGTCTGTGTTTCTGTTCCTCTGTGTACAGCACATACAGCTGTTCCAGCTCTGGGGTGCTTTTCAACTTGTGCTCTAGAGATGAAACATTTAGGGGGATTAACATTTTAACTCTTCAATCCGCAAAAGCTACAGATGTAACCTGCATTCTTATGCGGGTGAGGTGAGAAAGTGGCAAAATTCTATGACCTTTATAGCAGGCTGAAATGAGAGCAAATTTCCACAAAGTATCTGCTATATAACAATAATAATGTGCTATTTTATTATAATATTTACATTCTAATTAAAAGCACTATTTTTCACTTCCTATAATTTCTTAGATGTTACCTTTCCCTCTTGTTCTTGTTCTAGCTTGTTCTCTGCATCAGAGTTAAAAATGCAGATTCAATTTGTGGGTAAACATGTGGGTCATAACCAGCTAATAATTCAGCACTTCACATATGAACTGGCTGGAATCATGCTTAGGTCATATTTTCTCCACAGATTTTCAGTTTTTCAGCATCAACAGACTCTGTATCGTATAAGGTGTAGAACGGTCTGGCCCTCAAACCCGTAAGGGAGCATGTGAAATTCTCATGGTCACAATGGTGTCTTCAACACTGTGGTTACAGCCATCAAGTCTAGCCACTCCAATGTCAGAGTCCATAAGTCCCTTGAGAATCACCTTATTTATCTAACGGGCTCCAACTGGCTTAGGGATTTAATGTGGAGAATGATCTGGAGAACATGGTACAGCAGAGAATGATCTGGAGAACATGGTACAGTGGAGAATAATCTGGAGAACATGGTACAGCAGAGAATGATCTGGAGAACATGGTACAGCAGAGAATGATCTGGAGAACATGATACAGCAGAGAATGATCTGGAGAACATGGTACAGCAGAGAATGATCTTAAGAACATGGTACAGTGGAGAATGATCTGGAGAACATGGTACAGCAGAGAATGATCTGGAGAATATGGTACAGCAGAGAATGATCTGGAGAACATGGTACAGTGGAGAATGATCTGGAGAACATGGTACAGTGGAGAATAATCTGGAGAACATGGTACAGCAGAGAATGATCTGGAGAACATGGTACAGTGGAGAATAATCTGGAGAACATGGTACAGCAGAGAATGATCTGGAGAATATGGTACAGTGGAGAATGATCTGGAGAACATGATACAGCGGAGAATAATCTGGAGAACATGGTACAGCAGAGAATGATCTGGAGAATATGGTACAGTGGAGAATAATCTGGAGAACATGGTACAGCAGAGAATGATCTGGAGAATATGGTACAGTGGAGAATGATCTGGAGAACATGGTACAGCAGAGAATGATCTGAAGAATATGGTACAGCAGAGAATGATCTGGAGAACATGGTACAGCAGAGAATGATCTGGAGAATATGGTACAGCAGAGAATGATCTGGAGAACATGGTACAGCAGAGAATGATCTGGAGAACATGGTACAGCGGAGAATGATCTGGAGAACATGGTACAGCAGAGAATGATCTGGAGAATATGATGCAGTGGAGAATGATCTGGAGAACATGGTACAGTAGAGAATGATCTGGAGAACATGGTACAGTAGAGAATGATCTGGAGAACATGATACAGTGGAGAATGATCTGGAGAACATGGTACAGCAGAGAATGATCTGGAGAATATGATGCAGTGGAGAATGATCTGGAGAACATGGTACAGTGGAGAATGATCTGGAGAACATGGTACAGTAGAGAATGATCTGGAGAACATGGTACAGTAGAGAATGATCTGGAGAAAATGATACAGTGGAGAATGATCTGGAGAACATGGTACAGCAGAGAATGATCTGGAGAATATGATGCAGTGGAGAATGATCTGGAGAACATGGTACAGCAGAGAATGATCTGGAGAACATGATACAGCAGAGAATGATCTGGAGAACATGGTACAGCGGAGAATGAACAAAAGATCTGGCCAACACAGCACTTCTAAATGGCTCCTGAAGATGAGGACAGAGTGCTTTTGCTGTGATGTCTGTTCTTAACTCAATTTAAATAAGATAAAGGATAAGTGAAAAACCACTACCATCAATGATTTTTTTCTGGCACTTGATGATGTCATCTGATAAATTCCGAGAGTGGTGGAGTTTGGTGATGACCATATCTTTGTGGCGAATCTGGAAGTCCCTCAGCAGACTGGCTGACTGTCCCTCTAGAGACTGTATTTCCAGCTGGTGGACACGGCACAGCAGATGAAGGATTTCCTGCTGGTCTGCACTGCTGATGCGTACGGGGATCAACTATTTGAGAAATATTAAACATGTTATCAAACAGTTTGATTTGTAAATTATACTTCATGGAAAAACATATATACAAGATGCATATGTAGTAATGTCTTCTTCTGCCCTTTATCCCCAAATGGAGCATAGGCCCTCAACCAACTCATACCATCCTATCCTTTGCTACTGCATGCAGGCAGTTCATCCCATGTCCTTCCTATCTTTTTAACAACACTCACTAGCTCCCTTCACCATGTGATTTTTAGGTCTGCCCTTATTTCTTTGCCCCTGTGGGTTCCAGTGGAAAGACCTACAATCTATATTGTTCTTAGGTTTTCTTAATGTGTGTCATATCCAAGACCGGAATTGTTTCCTCATCTGTTGATTCAATAGAATTTATTTAGTTCTTTCCCAAAGCTCCCCATCAGAGATTCTATCATACCATGTCAGTCTTTCTATTCTGTGCAGGAACCAGTTAATGACTGTCTGTAGTTTATTGTTTCAATTGTTCTCCATATTTCAGCATTAGTGATTCTATCATATCTTTTAATTCCCTCTATTCTGCGCTGACACCTGTTGATAAAAGTTTACGTTTATTAGTAACTGTTTTAGTAGTTCTCTGTGTTTCCCTGTTATACAGTAGTTGGTTAGTTGGCACCTTTCCATCCTTCCAGACGACAGTGTTATACTGAATCGCAGCTCATGGTGATGGTGGGTGTGACTAGCAAGACCTGCCCGCGTTAAGAAAAAGTCTTCAATAAATAGAGTATGGGATTTCAAGACTAATGTTGCCATCATTTGTATTTAGTGACACCCATCTCTCACCCTTTCGGCAATAATTTGTTTCTTCACTCTCATTACCTTCCTAATGTGACCCCTCCATGCAACATGTTCCATGGCACTTTGTTCCCACGAGACCACCTCAATACCTGTATCATTCATGTCCCGCTTGCACACATCTTTATATCATAGTAGAGGTCAGCCACGACATCTTCTACCCATCTTTAATTCATCACAGAGGATGTCCTTTAGATGGATGTACTGCAACTCTCATATTATTGTACAAAAACCATCCACTGCAGAAATCCCACCCTAGTACTCAAGGATCATGAAACAAAAGAATTCACTAACCTCTAAGCCACATTATTTATACAATGTACCAATTATTACTTTATTTGCTGCCTATCATCACTGGATCATAGGCCTTGGACCAAGCCCATGATAGCCTTGATCACGATTTGTTGAGTTTTTCAGCTGAAGCTTTCTACGCAATAAATTAGCCAGTTTCCCATGTGGGTTCTAGGGCTCCAGTTTGGAGAACAAAGAATAGACTGACAACCCCAGTCAACAAACATGTCATTGAAAGTGTATCTGCCTGAGAAGCAAGGAACCAGCAGTCTGCATACTTATAATTCAGCTCTTTAAAATGAATGTGCATGCAAAACAGGTTCTGAATCAAGACCACAATCCAGCAGTGGACAACCTGGACTTTTAACCCTAGTTTACAGGCTATGAACGCTAAGAAGAAAAAGAATTATCCAGTCTTATATCAACCCTCCTGAGTCACCTCTTATGACAAGCATTAAAGTTTACAGTTATTATTCTTTGCTTCTTTATGGGCTCCGATTAACACAGTAAAGACTTCATATCAGGCACAATATTTCTTTCTGTGTGGCTACAAACTGGAAACTGATTTTGTCAACACCTTCAGATATAAGATTACCTCTTCAAGTTTATGAGTCTTGTTTCTGGCAGTCTCCAGCTCTCTCTGTATCGTGGTCTTGACCCTCTCTGTCTTGTATTTCTCCTCGTGCAACACCTTCAGCTCATCCCTGGCAACCTGCACTTCCACAGGCTCAGCTTCATTGTCTGCTGTAGAACCTTCATTTTCTTTCTCCTCATCTGTTGGAGAAATGTTGAGGAATTTTAAATTACCAATGATTAACACTTTTTGTTTCGGGAAAATCACCCAATGCTTTCCTGAATTTTGTTTTTACATGTTGTCAGAGCATATTAAAGAAATCTGGCTTCTACAGTGTGTGCTTCCAATGTCTACAGTACAACTTTCATTTTCTTTCTCCTCATCTGTAGGAGAAATGTTAAAGGATTTTAAATTACCAATGATTAACTTTTTCAGCACACACAAAAACACAAGATGTGTGTTTAGTCTTTCCCTCTGTTTCTGGAAAATCACCCAAAGCTATCCTTACTTCTGCATATGTTTTCAGGGCATATTAAAGAAATCTGGCTTCTACGGTGAGCTCTTCCAAATTGTGCAGCCAGTCTGAAAGTACTGCATTCATGAAAGTGGCCATTACCTCCTGTAGTCATGCTAAGTATAGGATTAATGTAATGAATTAATGTATCTGACTTGCCTTTTCACATTTACTAAAAACATTTGCCGGTTTTCACTACTGCCTGCAGCTCACCCCAGTTAAGTGTTTACAATTTTGTCTGCACTGCTAACACAGTCTGGCACCAAATTTTTTTTCAACCTTAAATTTGTAGACCAGCATCAGTCAGTAGACATTTCCTGGGCAGTCCTTTAGAAATATTCGCCAAATCATGCAGTGGCTACAGTTAAAAACCAGATAGAGAAATCCAATAAATGTCATTGCAGAGCTCTGTCTCTCAGAAACAGCACTCCAGCTACATACGTAAGATTTTTTTAGCAGCAGCAACGTTGCATTAGCTAAAAAAAACTTAATTTTATAACACTGAATGTAATAAATAAAATACCACTTGATTTTTTTTGTGGGGGGGTCTTTGTACTTTGCAAGGTATTTTTTTCCTCTTATCCGGTTTCATATAAAAAGGGTGAAGAATGCTAGTCTAATATGACACAAATGATCATTATTTGTTAAGCCAGAAAGCATAAGTAGTCATGATTCATGATCCCACATGCCCACCAGAATCTCTGATCATGACTGTGTTCTTGTCCTGGTCATGTCATAAAGACAAGGCATGATAGTGAGTGCTCAATGATGAAGGTTTTGGTCAAAACATTTGATTGTTTCTTCCCCCCCCCCCCCCCCCCCCCCCCACCCCCTCTCTCCATCATCATAATCAAAAACCACATCTCCTGTTAAGCGTAGTGGGGAGAAATAATTTGTGATCCAGTGCATGCTGGCTGGCACTGGCCGCTGTCATGCCGAGAAGGCGTAGAGTGTCTTTAATGTTGTTGATTAATCTTTTTCATGGGCATCCTTACAAGATGGTCAGACCACTCGACCTGCTGTTTATCAATTAATCTAGTAAAATCTGTCTGACAGTATAATTATTCACTCAATCTGATTATTATATCGATGATTATCTTGGTGGCTTTTCTCAGGCATTTCAGCTCACATGTGGTGATTCTGCATATATGGGTTTAAGATAATGTCCACTTAACTCCTAAACATAGTTCAGTGAGTTAATATCTTTTTTTAATAACGGCCAGTCACCCCTATTATCATCGACCATGATACTGATCAATCTGACTTGCCTCTTCACATTTAAAAAAAATGTTTGCCAGTTTTGACTCAATTTGCATACGTATTTCTAATAACATGCCTCCCAAAAAAATCTTGTATGATCTATACATAAGAAATCTACAACAGATTTTAAAAAATCAAGTTACCCGGAAATTTGCTGTCAGTCATATTTGTATGCTCTCTATTTCTTAGCTGTCTTGCTTTTTCAACCTGGTACCTGAGCAGAAATGTAGAGTTAAAAAAATCTCAGCACCTGCATGTCATAATTCACATCAGCCAAACAACATAACAGTTCATGAATATGCATAGTTTATATCATACTACATTCCTTTCTTACATTCCATAACTCTCTCAATGAGTTGTATGCTCATCTTTATATATGTGCTAGTAAATTAGTTTCTTCACTGGGCTTTCTTTCTCTTTCTTTCCTGTGTGTCTCTTTATCTGTCTGTTTTTGTCTCTGTTATCTGTGTCTTCTCTGCCTATCTTTGCTTCTTTATGTGTAATTTTCTCTCACATAAACAAAATCCCTCTCTCACTCTCATACACAGACAGCTCTTTGTTTCTCTCTCAAACGTTTATTTGCATGTAAGTCTCTCTCAATATACTTTCTCTCTTTTTGTTTTCTCTCCAATATTCTACACTTTTTCTCAAACACACTCTTTTTTGGCACACACAAAACAATACTGTGCTTGTTAAATATCACTCAACATTTGAAAATTTTTAAACAGTAGGCATCAAATTTAACAAAGTCTACTATAAAAAAAAACTGTCAAAAATAACAGCACATGTGCTTCCAGTAAACACACACAGGATCCTTGTCAGTGCCATGGAGTTTGGTTTGTGCACTGAGCTGAAACTGTTCTTGTATTTCTTCGTCAACTGTAAACTCTGGTGGAAAGTTCTGGCTGTTCTTCCATTTATGGACTTTAATCTTGTTTCAGGACTTGAGTTTTGCATGCACATCCATTTTACAAATCTGGCTCTCTTTCATGCAGACTGTTGGTTCATCGCCTCTCAGGCAAATGCACTCTGACTCTGAAGGTAACACCTTAATTAGTCGACCTTTACGATATGCCTGTTAAGGTTTTCTTGTGTGACATATGAGATTTACGATATGCCTGTTAAGGTTTTCTTGTGTGACATATGAGATTTACGATATGCATGTTAAGGTTTTCTTGTGTGACATATGAGATTTACGATATGCCTGTTAAGGTTTTCTTGTGTGACCTATGAGATTGATGATATGCCTGTTAAGGTTTTCTTGTGTGACCTATGAGATTTATGATATGTCTGTTAAGGTTTTCTTGTGTGATCTATGAGATTTATGATAACCCTGTTAAGGTTTTCTTGTGTGACCTATGAGATTTATGATATGCCCGTTAAGGTTTTCTTCTGTGATCTATGAGATTTATGATAACATTGCTAAGGTTTTCTGGTGTGGTCTCTGAGATTTATGATATGCCCGTTAAGGTTTTCTTGTGTGACCTATGAGATTTACAATATGCCTGTTAAGGTTTTCTTGTGTGACCTATGAAATTTACCATATGCCTGTTAAGGTTTTCTTGTGTGACCTATGAGATTTATGATAATCCTGTTAAGGTTTTCTTGTGTGACCTATGAGATTTATGATATGCCTGTTAAGGTTTTCTTGTGTGATCTATGAGATTTATGATATGCCTGTTAAGGTTTTCTTGTGTGACCTATGAGATTCATGATTTGCCTGTTAAGGTTTTCTTGTGTGATCTATGAGAGGAGAATGAGCACTAATGGATACACCTGTGTGCAAAACTACAATTAAACCAAAGCATCATGCCTGGATCAGTGACCAGCCATTACATTAGACATAAAGGGGATGCACACAGTAATTTGCGAATTTCCATATGTGCCCAGTCCTCATATTCAGCAGCCAGCGAAGATGGTTTTTTACAGAAGTCAGTGTACAAAGTACATAAAGAAGTTTAGACTTGAATGATTTCATTCTATAGTGTAAGTACATATAAATAAACTGAGATTAGGACACAAGCAGATCTGGTTTGTTTCACAATGTTGACTTTTTTCTGTTCCTACAGTACAATAAGAAAACGGATACTTGCTTTCCTTGATCTAATTCAACCAAGTTTACTCAAGCAGGGCCATTCAACCAAGTTTACTCATGCAGGGCCATTCAACCAAGTTTACTCAAGCAGGGCCATTCAACCAAGTTTACCCAAGCAAGGCCATTCAACCAAGTTTACTCAAGCAGGGCCATTCAACCAAGTTTACTCATGCAGGGCCATTCAACCAAGTTTACTCAAGCAGGGCCATTCAACCAAGTTTACTCATGCAGGGCCATTCAACCAAGTTTACTCATGCAGGGCCATTCAACCAAGTTTACTCATGCAGGGCCATTCAACCAAGTTTACTCATGCAGGGCCATTCAACCAAGTTTACTCAAGCAGGGCCATTCAACCAAGTTTAATCATGCAGGGCCATTCAACCAAGTTTACTCATGCAGGGCCATTCAACCAAGTTTACTCAAGCAGGGCCATTCAACCAAGTTTACTCAGAGGCCAAAATGTGAACCATCCAGGGCTAGAAGCCAGAACCCCAGCATAGAATGTCAACTAATATCATACAACTGGCAGGCGATCTGAGAATATGATCCCACACAAAGAAATGTTGTGCCTGTATATAAAGTCATTCACCTATATCACTGGGGCCCATGGGGGAAGCAAAGACAAAAAGGCCACACCGAACAGGCCACTGACAAATTTTCACAATTAAAAAATTTAACCACATAAAAAATATATGTATAGGTTGTGTGATTAAAGTGTGCACACATTCAGTTCCTCATTAATGCTACACTCATCAAGCACTGTGCTGAGATAACAGCTCTGCCACTTGTATAAGGAAACTGGGTAAAATTATGAATATCCATTACTATATAATACTTTGTTAATTTCTTCTTCTTCTTCCGCTGTAAACTCTGGAGGAAATTTCTTGTTGTTCGTCCACTTAAAGACTCAAGTCTTGTTCCAGAATTTGAATTTTGCATGTAGATCTGCTTCAGAGAACTTGCTTATTTGTATACAGACTGTTGGTTCATTACCTCTCAGGCAGATGCACTCTGACTTTGAAGAAACACCCTTAATATGTTCACTGTTACGACATGCTTTTTAGGGAAAGTCTATTATTTTTCCCTCACAATAGGGCCCAGGAACCCACACGGGGAGATTTCTCAACTTGATTAAATCAATGAAAACTGTTCTTCAAACAGTCAAGCTGCCACATAAAACAAATAAGTTTTTTTTTATGTTGTAGATGTTGAGAAGTCTACTCCTGACATCTTAACTCTTTGAGTCCCAAGGGGTTTAGCATCAGAGGTCCAAGGGGTAGTCAAAAGAGATGTAAAATCGGCGCATCCTGCATTTATTGGGTCTCTATGTAGGAAAATATGAACATATGATGGGACTCAGAGAGTTAATCAGATGCTGTTTTCCTACATTTGGTTGAGAAACATAAAAAGAGTTGGTGATACCGTAGATGGCAGGCAGGTCTTTGATGAGTAGGCAGTGGACTGTTTTACCAAGGTGACATTCTGCACATAAGTTTGATGCATTTTTGGGGGTTAACTCTTTCAGTGCCAGAATGACATAGCTGATGTCTAAGACAAACAGTAATGATACTAAACTCACGGATGTACTACTTCCATGGAGACCAAATAAGAGAAAGAAATTCAAACCTGCCTACACTGAAAATGGAACCCACAACCACTATGTTATTAGAGAAGTCATACCTGGAACTGATTAACTCTTTAATTACTGGAAGATTTTGCAGGATATTCCAAAGGGGGTTCTTTATTAATATCTTACCCCAGATGACGTCAAAGGACAGTCCAACATTTCAGAGGCTGGTAAGACTGGGTTTCCCGGCTTTCTGATGCTTTTAACGACCCCAAAACATCTAGAACTGGCCCTAATCCAACCCACCTATGTCCTATGAGAGAGTGCAGCCTAGGTCCCACGAGACTGCATGCAGCCTAGGTCCCACGACTGCATGCAGCCTATCTACCACCCCCTGAAATATTAGACTGTCCCGTGACCTGTGGATTCCTCTGCTTGGGGTAGGATTTTAATAAAGCACCCCCAAGGGTAGCAAAAATCACAGTGAATATAAATTGTGACAACCTGCCTGTCACAGATATAGCAACACATATACCTAGTTGGGGCATTAAAATAAGTAGCCAGGTTTCTGTAGTATACTTTAACTAAACATTTGATCCTCTTGGATTAGCATCTGAAACATGACTCTTTGAGTCACTGGATGTCAAACCTGCAGGTAGCAGTGCCATGAGAGAGAACAAAGTAGACATATTGTTGGTAACTTACTCGCTGATAACCAACTGATTGCGGTTGGTCTCAAGGCTGATCTCCATTGAAGCATTGTTTAGTTCCATGAGGGTGCGCCTGCAAAAGTTAACATATCTACCTCAGTAAAACACTGATATTGAATATGTTCATCCTGTGTGGGTTTTTAGGCCAAATTGTTGGGGGGGGGGGGGGAGGAGAGAAACAGCAAACCCCCCCCCCCCCCCCCTTCCCAACAAGCTTGTTGTAAGAGGCAACTTTTTAAAGGTGTTTCCTTTAAAGTCGGAGTGCATCTCCCTGAGAAGAATTTGTGTGAGGATACAAATAAGCCAGATCTGTAAAATGGATGTGCATACAACAACCCAAATTCTGGAATAAGACCAAAGTCCAGAAGTGATGAATCAACAGAACTTTCCACCGCAGTTTACAGACGGTAAAGACTAAGAAAAAAAAAAGAATATTTTCAGGGATTATGTTTGACACCTACCACATCATGCTACTTGTTAGCCATTGATTGTTTACCAAATATATCTAATCAACATCACCTAATAGCTTGTGCTGTAAATAATTCAATGAGGCAAACTCAACAAAACCACACAAAAATAAGAAGAACCATCTGTATCAACGGTTGAAAAATGGCAATATAATGGGTCCTTGTTCAGGAGAAGCAGAGAGAAAAAACACTAAACCAGCAAGAAAATAGGAAACAAATGGATTGTGGAAGCCACAATATCCAAGCGAAAACCTAGGATCAAGATTTTTTTTTTTTAAGAAGCCAAAGATGCTTGACTAGATTCCATTCGTGATATGAGACTGATTCCATCCATGAAGTCAAATAGATTCCATCCATGATGTCAAATCGATTTCATCTGTGATATCAAATAGATTTCATCTATGATTTCAAATAGATTTCATCCGTGATATCAAATAGATTCCATCTGTGATATCAATTAGATTCCATCCATGATATAAAATAGATTCCATCTGAGATATCAGTTTCGATCCATGGTATCAAATAGATTCCATCCGTGATATCAAATTGATTCCATCCATGAAGTCAAATAGATTCCATCCATGATGTCAAATCGATTTCATCCATGATATCAAATATATCCCATCTGTGATTTCAAATAGATTTCATCCGTGATATCAAATAGATTCCATCTGTGATATCAATTAGATTCCATCCATGATATAAAAATAGGTTCCATCTGAGATATCAAATAGATCCCATCCATTATATCAAATAGATTCCCTCCATGACATGAATTAGATTCCATCTGTGATATCAAATAAATTCTATCCATGAAATCAAATAGGTTCCATCCGTGATATCAAATAGATTCCATCCGTGATATCCAATAGGTTCCATCCATGATATCAAATAGATTCCATCCATGATATTAAATAGATTCCATCCAGAATATCAAAGTGACTTTATGGGAGAATGGAATGGAAGGATGGACTATGAGCCTTGTGTGACGTATCACAATAGGACAATGAATGAATGAATGAATGAATGAATGAATCAATGAATGTAATGTTACAGTCCTTGACTTTCTTCTCTCCTACTATACCCTCTATGGGTGTTTTACATTTTTCTTGATGGATGTACTAATAATCCAGTGTACTTCACTGCTCTCTTTCTCTCTCTCCCTCTCTCTCTCTCTCTTTCACTCTCTCTCTCTTTATCTTTTCTTTATACATATATGTAGGTCTAAGTGCAAATGATTGTGTATATATGATTGTTTGTGTCTGGTAGTCTGATAGTCTTAGTTTCAGCTTCATAGCAAACGGGTAGCCCCATCTTTGCTCCGCTCATGTGCCAACGAAAAACACACAGAATGTTTATCACAGTCTTTTGTGGAAAGATTGACAGACTGCTGTCTCAGCATATCTAGCATACACTCACATTGAAGCATACGGAAGCCATCCAAAGTGCTAACACAAACAGTCCAACATTAGAAATGCAGTTCATCATTGATGGTAGCAGAAGTCACCAACAGATCTGCAGTTGCCCACGCGATCAATTTTAATCACATACGGGCACTACCAACATTGCGATAACAGGCATTGCGCCATTTTCTGAATCTACAATTCACACCACCACGTTGGTCACAGTTGAAAAAAACATTCCAAATGAAATCCGCAGCTCACAGTGTCATGCCATGCATTCATCTCAGAAGCTGGGCGACGAAACTATATCCAGTCTACAAATGGAACAAAAATGCATTGGCCATCGTCCGGCAGAAGCAAAAAATATGCCTCGGCTCCGAACAGTGGCCTGCTTAGGGTCCATTTTGACCAGAAGTGTCTGCATGATTGTGTATATGTACATGTATGGATGAATGTATGTATATGTATGTTTGATATGTATATACAGATACAGCGGTAACAGAGTCAGAGGTCGACCGAACAGAACATGGACTGCAGAAATATCACAGACACTGAAAAGTACTTTATACAAAACGAACAGATGAGCCCATTCCAGAAATCGCTTCCTGCCCTGATGCTGCCAGGCATTCCAGGAGTAGCGGAAAGAAGAAGATGTATGAGAGTATTTGTATTGGTATTAATTATTGTGTGTGTGTGAATGTATGTGTGTGTAAGTATGCAGGTGTGAGAGTGTGTATGTAGGTATTATGCTTGAATGTACACGTGTGTGTGTGTATGCATTTTACTTGATAATAATATAATGCATAATGTTATATAAATATACCATGCCTTATTGATAAAATACAATTGCACTATGAAAAATGAGTGTTGAAAGGAGTGAATGTAAGACAGGCCTGCACGCCTAATTTGTAACCCTTTGAAAATAAATGCTCATTCATTCTCCTTAAGTCTTTCTCTCTTTCTTTCTATCCCTATCTATTTCTCTACTATCTCTCTCAGTCTCTTTAGATTCTCTGCCTCTTTCTCTCTTTTCACATAATCGGAGATTCAAGCCTGCATCCAATAACATCAGGAGTGGTTATGTAAATACAGCAATCATTACAAATAGAAAACAAAAATTTTTTTTAGGAGGGTAAAATAATTGAACAAAGAAGTTTCTCAACCTGAGTTCCATCTGGTCCTTGAAACTTGTAAGTAGTTGTTCTTTGAAGTTTGTCACATCTGCTTTGTCTGTCCTTCTTTGTGATTCCACTACTTCGGCTGTGAAGAGAAACATACATTTTTTCAAATAATATCTGAACGACCTGATGTTAAATATTGTCATTACAAATTACTTCTTTTACAGTTTTGTTTTTTTAATTATTTTTTCTATTTCTTGAAACAGTGTCAATATAGAGCAGGATAAAAATATTTGCAGCTATGTGAAGGATCCCAGGATAACTCGGCATAGAAATAGAATTAAAATTTAGGAATGATTGCAGTCGAGGCGACCCAAAAAAAAAATCACATAAACGGTGACTTAAAATTCTTTGGTTGTAATTATGCCTGTCTATCACCATCAAGTGTTTTGCAAACAAGAATTGGTGATCAAAGTGTCGGATCATGTTTCAGACTAGTGTAGGGTTTTAATCACTTTGGGACGTGAGTGCAGGGACTGGCCATTTGGTGCTGCAGAATCATAATCCAACAAATGATTCATTAAAATTCTTGCCCAGGTGATGTGATTGTATATACAGATGGCTCTGTGTTAAAAAGCAGACGAAGTGCATGGGGGTTCATAGCGAAGGTGAATGGACGTCACTTGGTGCAAGAAAGCCTGGCATATGATATCACTAAGTCTAGTTTAAAAATGGAGGTGGAGGCAGTCATTGCTGCCTTCCGTTGGCTTGACAATCAGCTGTACACACATAACGTCACTGTAACTGACTCACAGAGCATGTTGAGAAAGGTGGAGACAGGCATGCTCCATGCAGACTGGCAAGCATCACTCCAAAGGTCCCAAGTAGTTAGCATCCTTTGGATATTTTCTCCATGTCATGCCGGTGTGTTGGGAAATAAGCAGGCAGATAGACTGGCAGGCTCTGCATCACTTGGTAGTAAACTGATGTATGACAAGCTGGATGTTGTGAGGGCCCTTTGGGAGCGAGTTAACAGTGCCGAGGCACAGATAGATCATTACGGCCTGAGGAGAATAGAACTGCGAGGAGTTACAAGGGGATCTAGTCGATGCTTGACACTCAGGTAAAAGGTGAGATGGATATACAGACAGTTACTGGTACCATAGGAATTTGAACTCATGCTGCTGAAGATGGGGACGGAGCGCTTATGGGGGTGTCCTGAGTGCTGTGATGTCGATTCTTAATTCAACATTCAACATTCATGGGTTATCATACCTCTTCACAATCTGTGATCCGCAATTGAGTGTATCAGTTCGTGTGTGGACATGACAAAAGGCTATCAGGAATCTTCTCGTGCTGTCTTACTCTGTCACTCTTTCCACAAATCTTTCTAATGGTCACAAAATGTTGGATTTTCCTGGTTCTCATAACATAACCCCCCAAAAAATGACAGTCTCTGTCTGATGTTTGTGATAAGTTGTCTTCGTGCACCTGCCTCTTTCAAAACATCTGGGTTACTCTTCTTAGCTGTCCAATGAATTCTAAGGAAAAACCGCATCTCAGAAGCCTCAAGATATTGTTCAGCTTGTTTATTAATTGTCCAGGGTTCACAGCCGTATGTGAAAACCGGCTCTATATATCTATGCCTGTCTATACCCTTCCTTTAAAACAAAAATCAATGAACCACTGACCCTATTAGATAATGAACCGTGAAAGGTCAATGCTCATACTACAGTCAAAATCAATGCCAAGAAGTTTGCTGCCAAATCTCCTGCTAGCAAACTGAACAGGTATGCCAGGAATATAAAACTGTACTCATAATCTTTAAACAACAGACAGACATTGACTGTAAAATAGTCTGTAACATCTGTATGTTGCTGTCATCATCATCAAGTGCCTTGCCAGCTAACGTACGCATTCGTGCATCTCCACAGATCTCGGTCTTTGGTGTTCTGGATCACTTCCACTGATGATATTCCTCCAGGCCACTGTCTCACGACATCTACCATCAGTTCTCTTCGTATGCCCCTGCCTCTTCTACCCGTGATCTTTCCAGTCATTACAATATTTTCCAGTGCTCCTTTTTTCATCACATGACCAAAGAACTTTGTTTGTCTCTGTCTCATTGTTGTATATAATGTTCTGCTTTCATTAGCCATTTCCAGGCAACCATTGTTAGTTATTCTGGCAGTCCAAGGTATTTGCAACATCCTTCTCAAGAACCACCTATATTGCTATAGGAAATGTAGATATTTAGCAAGCTAAACAAAATAAAAACTGAACAGACTCAATTATTCACGATAACCAAAATCAAGCAGATAAAAGTTACAGCAGAATATAACTCACATTGTACAGCCTGTATGCTGGCGACTGAGTGTTTCTGCTGTGTATGTTCTGTGAGTTTTGTCCGCAGTCTCAAGACCTCATCTCTCAGTTCAGATATGATGCTGGAGTACTGAGCAATATGATAGGCCACATCTGTCACGTTTCGTCGCACCTGGGAAGCGAACAGTGTACAACAGTTATTGCTGATAGTTTGACAAAATTCAATATAAACATATCAAACATTTTCCCCTTGTTGATTCCGGGACCCCCTTATAGGGACAAAAATATAGACCCACTGCCCCTCTACAAGCATGTCATAAAAGGTGACTTCTTCTTCTTTTTCATTCATCTGAGTGACATAATTTCGTTGTGTTAAGTTGAGTCAAGAAATTGACATCACAGCACTCGGGGCATTCACATGCATGCTCCGACCTCATCTTCAGCAGCCAGTGCAGAGTTCCAGTACTGATGGTACCGATCACAATCTGATTATTTGTCCATCTTGCCTTTCCTCTGAGTGTAGTGAGCTGGCCAGACCCTCTGGTTACACCCAGGTGCCTCATTCTCTCCAGGCCATAATAATCTTGTTTCTCTACTGATTCCGTTGCTTGTTCCCAAAGGGCCTTGAACACATCTGCCTAGTCTTCTTTTTGTTTTCTTCTTCTTCTTCTTTCTTTTTTACATAATTTGGTTGTGCCTGTTTTACAGCATAACTTCAGTATTTGTGCCTTTTGGCCTACACATACTTCTACATCGACCATCTGCTGACTGGGTTAACTACCCTGATAAAAGGTGACGAATAAGGTGACTTCATAATCGTAGTGCATCTGCCTGTTGAGGCAAGGAACCAACAGCCTGCATAGAAACAAGCCAATTCTTTTAAAGGGATGTGCATGCAAAATGCAAGATCTGGAACAAGACTGAAGTCCAGAAGTGGACGAACTACTAAAACTTTCTAGTGGAGTTTACAGTCACTGAATACTAAGAAAAAGAAGAAGATAAAAGTTGTATGCAAAGATCAAGCCATGAGGGTTAGTACACCTGTTGACCAAGATTCAATCCTCAGTCAGTTGGCACCTTTCCCTCTTTCCAAACGAGTGTTATACTGTACTGTAGGAAGGCATGGGAATCATAGCCCGTGGAAATGGCGAATGTGACTTGCAAGATCCGTTAAAGTCCCCCACAAAAAACCTGGGCAGTATTGTAGAGGCACATGTTGCATGATCTCTCTCTCTCACCCCACCTTTGTTTAACTCATTAAGGCCCGCGCAATGTTGTGAGCGTTAATTAAGAAGTTCCGTTTTGCCCAAACAACATGGTCATATTCAATCATGTGTCCTGTGCATATTGCTCCATACTTGTTTCTAATAATTGGAACTATGATTAAAGTATTCAGGAAAAGTCTCTTTAATGATTTCCCTTTAACAACATTTAGTATTCCAAGCCGCACGTGCATAGATTGATCGGATTCATAGCTTCATTTTTTTTTTTCAACAGTGCATTTTCTAAGTTTGTTTTCGAGTGCCATGAAACCAATGTTCCAACCACAAGTACAGGTCGCAGAAAGCGTCTTTCTGCAGCCGAAGCTCTGAAATTGTTTCAGTCAGATATTTTTAAATCTGATAATGATAATGAAAATTTAGATTTTTCGAAAAATGGTTTGACGGTGAATTTACACCAGCGAAGCTGAGCGATCAGCGGTTGAGAATCTAGCGATTCTGATGAGTTTACACAGACAATGTCCCATTGCTACCGTATTTATGGTGTAAGAAAAGGAAAGTGCTCCAAACAAAGAGACAGTACTATACTATGGGTAAGCTACATTGAAATCTGTGCAGCTACAGTCTGTATATAACTGTACAAAGTAAATGGTAAATTGTGTGTGTGGAATCGCCCATTTGTCTGCTATTTTTTAAATGAAATTTTGCTCAGCACTCTGTGAGAACTAAGAGCCTCTGAGTGCTAAATTAACCAAGAAACTTATAACTTTTGAATTTGTTAGGAAATTGAACAAACTTTAAAGTATTATTCTCAAATTTGGATATTCACAGCTCTTGTGGCTGCAAAACCATGTCAGTGAAGAATTTTTTGTTTTTAATTTTGTTCTTGTGAAATTAACACCTGCTGAATACTTATTTTCTATTAGCTATAACAGTTTTAAACATATACTTATCATCATATTCAGAATATACATTCATTTATCTTTTAAAAAATATATACTTTTGTAGGGATTAGAAGTATATTACATTCTCTATTGCCTTTTTTGTAGACTACCCCTCTGCCATTTTTATAAAGGAAAATTATTGTAGGCCAAGTCTGTCAAAATTCATGGGCCTGAAAGAGTTAATCCAAAGGAAAAGTAATATCAACAACTTTGAAAAAAAGCATGCTGCAGAAATTGCTGAATCAGAAGAGCAGGGCCGTCTGTCTGCCCGTAGGAGTGTTCCTCCTTGACCAGCCGCCAATCACAGCTAAGAGAACTCCCATAACTTTCAGTTTTCAGGTGGCATTTCCTAATCTTAGGATAAGCAATCCACAGTGGTAGCAGAACCCATACGGGGATCAGCAGAAACATAGCATGGCTTTAATTAATAGTCACAAGCAATGATACAGTGAATTTTGCTTTTGGAACCAAAAAAAGGGATAATAAGGATTATCATCACAGCACTCCGGACAGATCCATAGGTGCTCCGATCTCCTCCTTAAAAGCTCCACAAGTGTAAAACGACTGATGACGCCTGTTCTGTGTTGGTTAATCAAATGTCTTGTCCCCTTATTGAAATATATACATTTCTTGCAGCTCCAGGCTGCACTCCCATGTCCATCAGCCTAGACACGGATACAGAGTCATGCAATTTGGTGCGCTCATCGACATGGTAAGTGCTGCACATGGCATTGATAACATCGCTTCTGTCCAGTACTGGACCAGCAACCGCACTGTCAGCAATATAATCTGCATGCTCATTCCCTTGAACTCCCGCATTACCTGGCACAAGGATAAAAGTTAGGGGATAGGAGTTTCCGTAAAATCAAGAAAATAGTTTGTCTGTTTAAGTTTAAGTTTAAAGATGACAGGACTGACTTCACTGCAAAGCATTTTATTTCAATTTGCTTAGTCTCTCTCTACATAATGACTAACCACCTGCTGAGAGGATCATACAAAGCACTAACTCCCTAGCTCTGGCAATGATCCCCATGGATCTCCGTGAAAACTGAACCAAACCTATGCAGCAACAAAATGACCCCACAATCTTCTGAGCATGAAGTAAACGGGCTGACCACATTGCTATAGAGACCCCTTCAACATGTATAAACGCATCAGTCACTGGGTGTCTGCAGTAAACTGTCAAAAACACATACCTTTGTTCTTATGTGTTTAGCCCTGTCTGCATACACAAGAGTGTTTCTGGACTCCTCAAACTGTGTGCTGGCAGGGCTGATGTGTGCAATCATCACCGTCTTACAGTTGCCCCCAAGTGCATCCTTCAGGAGACGGGTCAGCTTGCTGTCTCTGTAATTTATGTATTTGGGTCCATTTTTGTCACCTGAAATATTACACAAATTACTGACTTAATAGGAGCGGCAGGCTAAACAGTGAAGAATGATGAGCTCTTGTGCAGGAGACACAGGTTTGGATTATCTGTAAAGTTGTGCAAAAGTAAAATCATAATCTGCAGTCTGTGGTGACAGCACCAGCCAGGTGGCCTTAACTCTTTGAGTCCCAAGGAACGCATCATACGTTCATAGGTTCCTACCTAGAAGCCCAATAAACGCATGATGCGCCGATTTTATTACTTTCTTTACTACCCCCTGGGCCTGTGATGCTATACCACCTGGGACTCAAAGAGTTAAATCCTCAGGTTTCTGAAAGACCCTCATATCTACAAGTGATAAATGCAAGCATAATTGGCAGTTTCGCTTTCAGTGGTGGGGGGTAGGGTGGGGGGTAAGGTGGGGAAAGGGGGGTGTGGGAGTTTTACTGATTTAAGAATCAATAGCATAGCACACCGGGCATACCCAAACATGCTCTGTCTCCCGCAGAAAATGTCTTGAGGTGTAGGTGCTGAGTGATCCAATAGCACACTTGCTGTGTTTGCATATTAACTCATACTATTTCTCTGACAGACAAAAGACACATATGTTTCCTTGTCACAATCTGGTTGGCTCTAGCTCAATATGTTTCTACAGACCAAGCAGCACACAATGGTCAAAGTCAAGCTGACTGCTGCTTTACTTTCTCACAACATTTTGTCCTGTACCGATTTTATACTGGGTTCCCCTGAAAGCTCTGTTCCATTTTGAACAATATGGTCTAAATTTGAATTTGTAACTCATGGATCACAGCAGTGGCAGGCAAGCCTTCTAGCAACTGTGTTACCGCAGCTCCTGTTTACATTGTAGTTTTAGTCATTTTAGATACATTCTTATGTGTAAGCCGGGAGCCACCGTAGTGTAGTGCCAAGACGCTTACTTGTGGATCTGAAGGTTGTGGCTTCAAATCCAAACAGAGCCGGACATTTGTCAAAAAAATGACCTGGGCTGCCAGGTAAACTTAAACTGCCCTGAATTTAGATAACTGTGTAAAGTAAGTAACGGACTCTTTTTCACACCTTCAGGCGTATTAGGCATATAGAGGTAAACCTATATTTTATAGACCAGTCAGCGCTTGGGCGGGGGGGGGGCTCAGCATCACCCCAGCCACCTTTACTTCCCAGTACATCTGTCTGGTACCCATTTAAAGCTGGGTCGACGTGGGAGCCAAGATCATTTTTGAAAAAAGTCCAACACAGTCTGGACTTAAACCCATGACCTTTGGATCTGCAGGCGAGCATCTAGCAGCTACAACATAGCAGCTCCCTAGATGATGTTTCCCTAATTTTAATTAATTTTAATTTTTTTTTTTTTTTTTATTGTTTTATAACAAGATGCAGTAATGATTTTGTTGGCATCTCTCTAAGATAAATACAAACCAACGTAGATCCATGCAGCTTATGTTAAGAAAAGGAAGCAAAAGATCCTCCCCTTGCCAATGGTACTATGGCGACAGATTCATGTTATATATAGAACAACCGACTGTCAATGTAGTCAACATCAAGCGGGCTTTAGTTGCTTTGCAGGACATTTCCTGGTAAACGTTTTAGGCAAAATCAAGCTGGGTGACCTGGGTTAGTAACACAAATCTGTCTCATCACATATTCAAACACTGTAGACATCCTCATCCATACATATAAGACAGATTCAAACACTGTAGACATCTTGATCTATACAAGACAGATTCAAACACTGTAGACATCTTGATCTATACAAGACAGATTCAAACACTGTAGACATCTTGATCTATACAAGACAGATTCAAACACTCTAGACATCTTGATCTATACAAGACAGATTCAAACACTGTAGACATCTTCATCCATACATATAAGACAGATTCAAACACTGTAGACATCTTGATCTATACAAGACAGATTCAAACACTGTAGACATCTTGATCTATACAAGACAGATTCAAACACTGTAGACATCTTGATCCATACAAGACAGATTCAAACACTGTAGACATCTTGTTTCACACAAGACAGATTCAAACACTGTAGACATCCTGATCCATACAAAACAGATTCAAACACTGTAGACATACTGATCCATACAAGACAGATTCAAACACTGTAGACATCTTGATCTATACAAGACAGATTCAAACACTGTAGACATCTTGATCTATAAAAGACAGATTCAAACACTGTAGACAGCTTGATCTATACAAGACAGATTCAAACACTGTAGACATCCTGATCCATACAAGACAGATTCAAACACTGTAGACATCCAGAGTCATACAAGATGGATTCAAACACTGTAGACATCCTGATCCACACAGAGATTGCAGGTTACACCAGGCTGGTGTGGCTAGGGTTACAAGAAAACATTCAGGTAGCAGCACAGACAGGGAAATTAGAAGGAAGGAAGATTCAAACCCAAGAGAATTGGACAAACAAATAGCCTCTTTGAATACTACTACTATAAGACAGATTGTGGAATCAAAATAACTTTTACTAGATTCATCAATAAAGAGCACATGAAGGAGTTTGGTCATAGCATCTTAGGCACTGCATCTCAGAAGATTAGCAACAAGAGCAAGAGGATGGACATGAAAATATGGATCAACATCATTGCAGACACTTTAAGCCTTCACAGCATGATAATAGCCAGGGCCAGCCAGCCATCTTGCACTGAATCACAAATTACTTCTCCCCATGATACTTAATGACAGAAGTGGTTTACGATGATGATGAATGGCCACAACGCCATTGTGGCTCTTGTTAAAGTATAAGCAAAGGAAAATGTCTGCTTGTTTAACATTACAAAAATACACATCTCTTGTTACATGTGAACACTCACTCAAAGCATTGATGCAGTTGCCCAGGGCTAACAGTGAACGATTAATGTGAGCCCCCTCCACCATACGTTTCCCTCTGTTGTGAGTGTTTGCTGCTCTCTCTGATCCAGCCAGGTCAACCAGAAATAAGCGACCAGTGCGAACTTCCTGCATGATGTTTCGAAGTCTGTTTCTCTGTTTGACCGTGACCTGAAGAATGGCGTGTGATCTGGATGATGTCGCATTGGCAGCTGTTGGTTCCTGTGTACGCTCCAAGTTCCCCTTGACTAGCATTCCCATAACCTGTGAAGAGAAACTCACTATTATAATTTCACAAGTCTGGCCCTGTGGCTTAGAGGTCAGTGAATGTGTTTTACAATTTCATGATCCAGAATACTAGGGTTTGATTTACAGTGTAGGCAGATTGATTCTTGTGGTTTTTGGAAAGGAATAGAGGAATAGATAGAAAGCCATGTGTGACATAATGGCACAACAGTACAATGATGAAGACCAGTCAATGATGTCATTCTTAAGACTCTATTATCATCTTCTATGAGGGCAAGCACAGAAGAACAAGAAGATTATCTTACAGTTTTTCAATGATCACATTATGCCTTTGTTTCCACATTAATATATTTGAGTTTGCATCTAAGCCTTGTTCTGCAATCACAAGCAGACTTTGAATCATGACCAGCTTTGAATCGGTCACACCCTTTGTCATTTGGAAGCAACAAGTTCGAGTCCTGGTACAGTAACTGGTAACTATAACTTTCAATCTGTATGTTGTCTAGGCTGTCCTCCTATCTCTATGTTTTTCTGTTTGTTTTTTATGTATGTACCAAACAATACATGTTAATTTGTTTATCATACTGTTTATATGGTTTCAACAGATCTCTAGTTATTCATTGCTGATTACCTTCATTACCGGCATGTACTTTTGCAGATGTTATGCCGGCTTTCACGAGTGACCACTTATATCAATAGTGAGCTGCAATTCTGGTATGGGACCATTAGTGTATGGCACAGCTGAATTATGCCTTTTCACTTTGCATGTGCAAGCTTCAATATTTTGCTGGGACGGAAAAGTTGTTCACTAGTTTTTCAAAAGGGACAGTGAAGGCCACTGCCTGTGATTTCCTCCACCCCAGAAAAGGAGCAATGATGTTGGAACATTGATTAACCCACTTACTTATTTCTGTATGTTAACTAATAACACAAACATAATTAATGTATTGTTTTTCCCAGAATTGTACTCACACAAGCACTTATACACTTTTGACAAGTTTGATTATTTCATGCATCCCCAGTGCTTAACTTTTTGAGTTCCAGGGGGTTTAGCATCAGAGGTACCAGGGCTGGTCAAGAGAGATGTAAAATCAGTGCATCTTGCGTTCACTGGGCTTCTGTGTAGGACACTATGAACGTATGATGCGTTCCTTGGGACTGAAAGAGTTAACATACAACACATTTACATTTTAATAAAATGTACACATATATTAAAACACAACCTCTTCTGTCGACCTTGCTGTGACCTCTGATATCCCTGCTACTTGCACATTCCCTTTCGCATCCTCCCTCAGTTCCAGAAAGCCTGAATCTGGGTTCAGAAGGTCCCGAATCATTTCGTTGTAAATCTGCATCAAATAAAAGTGATATCTTGGGTTTATCAATACGAAAACAGATGTGACAAAAAAATATATTCAACGTCATGAATAAGATCTTTAGTTGCAAATAAATACCTCACAAATAAAAAATACATTGAATCATCAAATCATTTACTTTTTTTCCCTCTTTTTTTTTTTTTTTTTTTGGCCTTAAAAAGGCAGTTGGCATGTTGTGTTGTGGTTTATATTCAGACTGTGATATCTGTGCCTTTCAGACCAATACATTTAATTTTAGCAAATCCTTCATTAGTCATCTTTTATGACACACTTGTTAAGGAGCATAAATAAACAGGTGGGGGGTGGGGTCGACCCTTAAGGCCATACAAATATTAAATATATAATAAACAAACAGACAATGTATTGATCGGAACTCACAGAAAGAAGTAGAAAGACAGAAGTACACACAGAAATATAGAAGAACACACCAGACAACATAAAAATCGAAGGCTATAGTTGCCATGCTGGGAATCAAACCTGTCACCTTCAAATAGCGTGTGCACCCCGCTATGGAAACAAGTGTACTAAGAACATGTTCAACTAGGCACCCCTTAAAAAAGGTATCTTCACTGGCCATATTTATCGTAGAATTAATCTCAAACCATTGAAATGGCACTGTAGGTTACATACATTTATATTAACCAAGATATTCAGCCTATTAAAACTTGAAATGTTCAATTCTAACGTCAAATCAGTACTGTTGTATGGAGCTAAAACATGAAGAACGACTAAGGCAATTACTAATAAACTACAAACATTCATTAACTGGTGACTGCATAGAATAGAGGGAATTAAATGGTATTTAAGAATCACTAATGTTGAGCTTTGAGAGAGTACGAAACAAGTTCCCGTGGACCAAGAGGTGAAGAAAAGACGCTGGATTTTAAAAGTGAAAACCTGAGAACAATATAACTAGAATGCCTTTACACTGGAATCCACGGGGGCACATAAATAAAGGCAGACCCAAAAAAATACACATGGAGAAGTGAGCTAAAGAGGGAAATTAAAAATATGAGGAGGACATGGGGAGAGCTGCATGCAACAGTGAAGTATAGAATGACTTGGCCTGAGGTGGTTGAGGGCCTATGCTCCATTGGAGGATAGAAGGTAGATGAAGAAGAAGCAGAATTTGTCCTCAAAATTATATCATATCTGCACTAGTGAAAGAACAAAACTAATAAACACAAGGTCTAGTCTATGTAAACATAATTTGTCTTCATAATCAAGTCAATCTATTTATCAAGTAGACCAAAACGAAGCAAAAATACACACAGAAAAATGAGAATTTGTCTATGTAAGCAGAATATGTTTTCATATTTTTTTCAGATCTGTTCCACTGGTAGAACAAATCCAATAAACTTAAAGAGGTTTAGTCTATGTTATTAGAGTTTATAGTAGTGTCTTTCTATCTTTCCAGACGATAGATAGTGTTGTACTGTGCTAAAGGGAGATATGGCTATCACAGCCCCTCGAATTGGCAAGTTTGACCAGAATCGAGAGCAACCCACCTCAACCGGACCATTGTTACCATCACATGTACCTGTAATCAAAAGCTGTCTTCATAATATTACACCTGGCTGGTGAAGCCGTTAGGGGTGCCTTAACTATAACTTCTTTGGAGATTGAACTGGGTATCTGGGATCTGCCTTGGTGGTCTGCCATCCCGACTGAGATGTCTCAATCTCAGGATGTTATGGTAAGTGGTATGGTAAACCTTTAGGTAGAGACCAGAGGGGTCAAAGTAATCGACTGATCGATGTCTTCATTATTATGACACATATGTTCCACTGGTAGAACAAATCCAACAAACAATTTGAAAGGAGTTTATGATAATGGAATCTAATCCTACCAACCTCAAGGTAAGACATTGTGACCTTGTAGGCCACGTCTGCATTTTGCCTCATCTCCAAGAACAAATCGTTAAGAGCCTGGACCATAATTCCAGGTTCATCATCAGTTCCCAACATTGTGTAAGTTTTGCCAGCACCTGTTAAAACACAAACCAAGAACTAATCTAAAATAATCTTAAAAACATCATCATTTTTTTAAATCTGTCTTTAAAAGACATAACACACTTTTAAAAACCACACTGGAGGGAAAGGTCAAAGGCAAGAGAGCAAGAGGTGGGCAACAATACAGTTGTGATGGTAACATCAAAAGATGAATGGGCAGCAGTCTAAGAGAGTGTACAATCAGGACAAGAGACAGAGCATGTTGGAGAGCCACTGGGCCAATCTTCACTGTGGAGACTGCACCTGACTGATTCCCTGACCATGAAAGGAGGGGTTCTGTTACTTACCTACAGTGAGCAAAGTGACTTCATATAAGAATATTGTGAAATAAGATGATATCATTATTTTTTTTTAATCTTTGGTTATACAAAACCATACATACCATGTTTACACACTACGCAGTTTCGGCAAGACCCAATCTGTTATACAGGCATAGTGGCCACTGACCAAAGATTCAACGTCATTAAACACCCATAAATGTCAGAAAATGGCATTCCTGGGGTGACAGGGTTAACTATCTCAGTCTAAAGCAATGCACGATCTGTAACTGGCTCATCTTCTGAATTCCAGTCATTAATTCAAATGTTGCCTAACTTTTCATTTCTTGATAATATTAAAAACAGCTGACTTTCTCACTGGCATTGTCATTCTGTATATAAAGTCCTTGACAACAAAGAGCGCCTGATTATATCAGATGTTGTCACTTTGGACTTTTGCTTGCCAAAGTTCTGGGAGTAAAAGAGTTGAGCAAACTTCAACTTACAAATTTTCTGTCCCTTCTTAAAACAGGAAAAACATATTTTACTTCATGCCATGTGATATGACTCATGATGTCTATCTTTAGCACTTCTATCTCAACTACTGTTAAACTTTACTAATACAGGTGTTTTTCCTTGCCTTGACAAACAAAATTGTCAAATATCCTCTCTCTTGGTCTTCCCAGGACTCTCATCCTCTTCAACTTTCATGGTGTCATGCTGTAATCCAATTTGCTCTTTCTCATATGTCTACAGAATCTGGATAGTTTTAGTACTGTTACACCACTTGGTAAAGTGCCATTACATGACTCAGTAAAGTGCTGTCACACCACTTGGTAAAGTGCTGTCACACCACTCGGTAAAGTGCTGTCACACCACTCAGTAAAGTACTGTCACACCACTCGGTAAAGTACTGTCACACCACTCGGTAAAGTACTGTTACACCACTCGGTAAAGTACTGTTACACCACTCCGTAAAGTACTGTTACACCACTCAGTAAAGTACTGTTACACCACTCTGTAAAGTACTGTTACACCACTTGGTAAAGTACTGTTACACCATTTGGTAAAGTACAGTTACACCACTCAGTAAAGTACAGTTACATGACTCAGTAAAGTACTGTTACACCATTCGGTAAAGTTGTGTCACACAACTCAGTAAAGTGCTGTTACACCACTCAGTAAGGTGCTGTTACATCACTCAGTAAGGTACTATTTCAACACTGAGTAAAGTGTTGTTACACCACTCAGTAAAGTGTTGCTACATCACTCAGTAAAGAGCTGTTACACCACTTGGTAAAGTGCTGTTACACCACTCACTAAAATGCTGTTACACCACTCAGTAAAGTGCTGTTACACAACTCGGTAAAGTGCTGTTACACCACTCAGAAAAGTGCTGTTACACCACTCGGTAAAGTGCTGTCACACCACTCAGTAAAGAACTGTTACACCACTCAGTAAAGAGCTGTTACACCACTCAGTAAAGTACTGTTAAACCACTTGGTAAAGTGCTGTTACACCACTCGGTAAAGTGCTGTTCCACCATTCAGTAAAGAGCTGTTACACCACTCAGTAAAGAGCTGTTACACCATTCAGTAAAGTACTGTTAAACCATTCAGTAAAGTGCTGTTACACCACTCATAAAGTGCTGTTACATCACTCAGTAAAACTATACTATTTAAGAAAGTGTATTAAACTTCTCCTCCTTCTTTAATCCTACTGCTTATTCGACACAGAGAGAGGTTATATGTAGCATCACGTCTTTTGCTAATTGTGTAGCTTGTGTTAATGTCATATTTAATTACTGTAGTGTCTTTTTTTTTTATTACCCTCTTTACCATCTTCTTTTTTGGTGAACTTCTTGACTGCTCTCATGTAAAGTGTTGTTACATTACTCAGTAGAGAGCTGTTATACCACTCAGTAAAGTGCTGTTACACCACTCAGAAAAGTACTGTTACACCATTCAGTAAAGTGCTGTTACACAACTGGGTAAAGTGCTGTTACACCACTCAAAAAGGTGCTGTTTCACCACTCAGTAAAGAGCTGTTACACCAGTCAGTAAAGTATTGTTAAACCACTCAGTAAAGTGCTGTTAAACCACTCAGTAAAGTGCTGTTACATCACTCAGTAAAATTATACTATTTAAGAAAGTGTATTCAACTTCTCTTCCTCCTTTAATCCCACTGCTTATTCAGCACAGAGAGAGGTTATATATGTAGCATCACGTCTTTTGCTAATTGTGTCGCTTGTGTTAATGTCATTTTGCACTACTGTAGTGTCTTTTTTTTTTTTACCCCCTCCACTAACTTCTTTCTTGGTAAACTTCTTGACTGCTCTCATGCAGTAGGCTATAGCTGCTGGCTGATTTTTTTCCATTCTGATCAGATGACGGAACCTTTTGATTCTTTGATGTTAAACCAAATCCTTTACCAGTACTGTGTCTACCCATTGTTCTGTTCTCTGTTGGTGACTCTATCTCTTCTTATTTTCCTGCTGCATTTCTGATATTGTCATTGCGTGGTGCATATAGTTAAACAATCACTGTTTTTATCTCTGCCTTTAAAATGTACACTCATAGGTCTGGACAAAGTGTAGGTTGTCTTGCTGATGGCTTGTGCTAGAGATGGATGGACGATAAAAACCAACTCTGTACATTGCGCATTGACTGATGTTTACCCTACTCCATATCATAACTAGTCTTCATGAATTTGTTGCACATTCTGTCATATATTTCTACAGTCCGACAGTCCGCAATCTGTGCATTGTGTTTTTAATTAAATTCACTATGTTTATACAGCTCCAATTTGTTAATGGCATACATTTTATGCGAGTACGCTTTATTTATAAAAAAATCCCCCTCCCACTGCCACCCCCCTCAGGTAACAAAAGAAATGTAATATATCTTCTAAGCAGAAAACAATTTCACACTGTACAGGGTAAATCCCACAGATTGTCACCAGATGTGTCTGTACTCACAAGTGATTGCATTTACTGGCATTTATTGCTCTTCACTTCGTGCAATAAACAAAGCCACTATTAACTCTACAGGTGTGGAACCAAACATCTAAGCTACAAAAGGATAATGCCAATTATTGATACCTCAGCAACAGCTTGGAGCAAAAATGTTGCAAACTACATTTTTTTTTTTTACATGATAGTATTCTTTTTCATAACCTCCACATGTTAATATTCATTGACACACACACACACACATACAGCTGTTTTATACACAAATACGTTTATGTATATCAGAGCACACAGGATATTCCTATATGTGCTCTGTCCCAGTCTTCAACAGCCAGCATAGAATATGTATATATCGTAGAATGTGCAAAACAGAAAAAATGAGAATAATTAATCCAAATTATAAAGAAATTAGTGGCATCTGTGGCTTAGGCGTTGCAAGTCCGACTCGTAATTCTAATGTACCGCTATCGAAACCTACTGCTGGCTGCGTGGATTTTTATCATGGTATGGGGCCTCATAGGTCGACCCAGCCTAAAATTGGTACCAGGATGGCTGTCCTGGGAAAGTAAAGACGGCCGGCGTAATGCTGACCACATAACCCACCTAGCACTGATTGAATGTAAAAATATGGGTGCACTTCATGTATGCCCGATGTGCCTAAAGGCGTGAAAAGGGATCTTTACTTTACTTTACTGATAAAGAAATTCAATCATCAAAGAAAATTGTTTATGTGAATGCTGGTCTGGACAAAGAAAGAATGTTTTAATAACCTCACAGATCTTTCATAAGACAACTACAATATTAACACAAAAGAAATGGCTATAAAAAAATTACATAGAAACTGACGCACATGTCTCTCCACAGATCTCAGTCCTTGGTATTCTGAATCAATTCCGCTGACAATATTCATCCATACCATTGTTTTATGTTGTTAAGCATTGTTGAAGCAGAGATGAAATACCTTAGAAGAGCTGTAGGAGTTTCAAGGAAAGACAGAATACGAAATTATGAAATCAGACAAATGCTAGGAATGAAGCCAGTCTTACAGGTCATCAAAGAACAACAAATGAAGTGGTCTGGACACCTAACAAGAATGCCCTGGTACTATCTGCCACAGCGAGCCACACTAAAACGTTGCAACAGGTATAGAGCGAGTGGAAGACCTCGGAAAAGATGGAGTGATGGCATTAAGAACAGCCTTACAGAAATGAACATGAGTCTTAATAGTGCTCTTGACAGAGTTCATCAATGAACGTTACATCTTTCCCCCAACACTTTGATGAAGTAAAAGGTGGAAAAGAAGAAGAAAAAGAAGAAGTATTGTTTCTCTTTGTCTGCCTCTTCTCAGTCCTTGATATTCTGAATCAATTCCGCTGATGAAATTCCTCCATACCATTGTTTCAGGTCGTTAAGTATTGTTTCTCTCTGTCTACCTCTTCTCAGTCCTTGGTATTCTGAATCAATTCTGCTAACGATATTCCTCCAAACCATTGTTTCAGGTTGTTAAGTATTGTTTCTTTTTGTCTGCCTCTTCTCAGTCCTTGGTATTCTGAATCAATTCTGCTAACGATATTCCTCCAAACCATTGTTTCAGGTTGTTAAGTATTGTTTCTCTTTGTCTGCCTCTTCTCAGTCCTTGATATTCTGAATCAATTCCGCTGACGATATTCATCCAAACATTGTTTCAGGTCATTAAGCATTGTTTCTTTTTGTCTGCCTCTTCTCAGTCCTTGGTATTCTGAATCAATTC